TTTTAATAATATACAATTTTAGTTATATTTAATTGATTTTCTTATTTTAAGCTTATTCAAATTATGCCAAAATATTTTTTTTATAATATTGCGTAAATTATTGCAAAATATTTCACAATATATTACATAATAGTTTATAATAATCTTACGTAATATTTTGTAATTGTATATTTTAATTTATTGTGCAATAATTTGCATAATATTACGGATATATTATGTTGCGTAATTTATTACACAATATTACGCTCTATTAAATTTGCTGATGATATTAATAGAATTATAATTCATAGTATTAAAATTCATCATATTGTATTGGATAGAATAATTTAAATTTATTCTCTGAAAAAAGATCAACTATATTGATATTTGTCAATCTATATCAATATATCTAATCAATAAAAATTCATACTTTTCACCTACTTTTTCTCCAATATAGTAGTTCACATTTTTATCAATTTCAGTTCAATCGACTTTTGTAAGAGTCATTATAATTTGCAATTGTTTTCAGATGAGTTGATTTGTTAAACAATAGAATTTGAGACTGTGTATTAAATGTTGGGATGTAACTTTCTTAAAATATTTCATATTATTAAACCAGTATTTTTTTTGTTCAACAAAAATAGTACTGTGATTACATCAGTTTTATAATAATTAATATATAATAATGTGCATTAAATCAAAATCATGATTAGAATCATATTTAACTCTAAGTCATTACAAATATTATATACAAATATCTTTTTTTAAAACAATGAAATTTCAATATACAAAGTGCGAAAGGGCATTTTCTTGTAGAGCTCTTCACTTCGAAACTATATGAAAGTTTATAATGATACTATTGAAAAACTCCTACAAGAAATTACCAAAGAAAGAAAAAGAGAGCAAAGAATTCAAATAGAATAAGAATATTAGCAAAATGAAGACAGCTAGCAATAGAAATAGAAAGTAAACAACTTGGAGATGACAAAGATATTGAAGATGACGAAGATATTGGAGATGACGAAGATATTGGAGATGACAAAAGTGTTGGAGATGATAAAGGTATTAAAGACGATGAAGGTATTGAAGACAACAAAGGTATTGGAGACAACAAAGGTATTGAAGATAATGAAGGTGTTGGAGATGATGAAGGTATTGAAGACAATGATAAAACAAGAATAGATAATCAACTTGGTGACAAAAATAACTATAATTACTAGATAGAAAACTAACAAGAAAGCCAGCTCAAAGATTAATCAGAAAGTAAGATGAAAGAATCAAGCAGTTAAATCTTAGTAAATATATAAGGATGGCGAAGTTAAATAATCAATTGTTTATATAACTTCACATGCATAACAAATAAACTTTATTTGTGATTAACATCAAATTTATATATATATATAAACTTTATTTGTGATTAACATCAATTTATATATATATAGAAAGGATTTGCATTACTTGACGTAGAGTCACCTTTAATTTTTGAATCTCTTGATATCACCAACTCAATAAATAAAGAAATGAGTTTTCCTAGTAAGGAATTTGGTGATTTTATAAAGTTACTTGTAAAATAGAACTTATCGGATACATGTGGTAGTAAAATTCTTAAGTTTGCAAAGAAAATATCTAATGACAATCCAGTTTTACCTACCTCAGTAAAACAAGGTCATTAGTTTTTAGATCAAATAACAGTACTATATCTTTCATTTAAAAAAGTGCCCATTATGATTTATAAGGAAAAAATATATTATCTAAACTATCATTTTATTTTTGATGCTATAAAGAAACTATTAAGCAATAAAGATATATTTAAATATTGTATTTTTAAATTTATACCGCTATATCATAAAGAAGAAAGAATTATAATAGGAAGTAGTAGGAAAAGGCAAAAAAAACAATTCCAGATGAAGCAAATATTTTATCAATAATTATTTATTCTGATATAACAATATACGACCAATTTGGTAAAGCAAGTAAACATTCTATCTATTTAACATTAGGAAATATACCTGAATAGCTATGTAATAAACTAATGCTAAAGTCCTCTTGAGCTACCTTCTACTTTTAAAGTCAAAAACAATAATTCAAAAAAAAAACAAAAAGATTTTTGCTTGCTAAACAATCAGTTTTTCTACACGTTTTATTATATGTACTAATTTAATAATAGATTTTACAGAAACAAAATTAAATATATCTGAAAGT